TCTGTTAGTTTTTTTTATTAGAAATCAGTTTTTAGCCACTAGTTGTGATGTCACATGCAGAGCATCTTAAGAAGATATTTATTACGGCCAGTGATTCTTAAAGAGTTTAGCAGAACCTGTCATGTAGCCTCTTCTTCTCCTATATCTTAAGGGCCCACGATCAATTTATTGATCATTTTGGCTCCTATGCATGTAGATGGGATTTGCAATGTTTCTGTTACTGGTGGTGATGAGGAAATTATGCACTAGGGGTTTGAAGGCTTGAGGCAATAGACACAAATGTGTCTAGTGTTGTCGCCTCAACTGTTCCTTTTGAAAGATGGTTCCAGTCCCTGATTGTCTTGGGCAGGAATGAGCAGCTCCTATACTGGCTTCTTGCTGGTATGAGCCTGAATTGCCTGTCATGGCCTCGTCGCTGTCTATGGGGGAGAGGGACGAGTTTCTGTTTAATACTGGAACAGTGGACCAGCCCATTATTTATCTTGTACATCATGGAGAGCCTGGATTGTCGTCGTCGTTTCTCCAATGGTGACCAGCCTAGTGTTTCTAGCATGCTGCCAACACTTGAGGTATTCCTGTAGCGGTTTAGGACAAAGCGTGCTGCTCGTCGCTGGACCGCCTCCAACCTGTCAATGCTCTTCTGGGTAAATGGGTCCCAGACTGAAGATGCATAATCTAAAATCGGACGGATAAAGGCTTTATATGCTCTTTCTTTCACACAGGAGTTGCCAATCTTTAGATTTCGCCTTAAGAACCCCAAGGCTTGGTTTGCTTGGTTACATACATTGTTAATATGCTCGTCCCATCGGACCTCTCTTTGAATGGTAACACCTAGGTACTTTACGGAGGAAACTTGCTCAAGAATATCCATTTGTTTTAGAAACATTAAAAATTATCAACACTATAAATGTCAAATAATTTTAAGCAGCTCTATTGCATCACTAACTACAACTTTAAAAAAAAAATTGACACTATGATTACCTAAAGCCTGAAGATAAGATTTGTTCTTGTGTGCACAGTTTTCATTCCTCTAAAGAAAAGTTGGGAAGAATTGATGAAAACTTTCTGTAAAAATTCTGCTGTAAATTATGTTAAAGTTCATTTCTTTATTCAACTCCTAGAGTACGAAGTCGTGGCTGTGACAGGGGACCAGTTGCATGCTGGGACAAGTGCTAACGTCTCCATGACTCTGTTTGGGAAAAGTGGAATAACCGACAAGATTTCCCTCAAGAACGGTAACCCGGACATGTTCAAGACGAATAACACAGACATATTTCATTTTAAATCCAAGTGTGTTGGCCCGATGAAGAAGATAAGAATTGAGCATGATAACACGGGCGTGGCTCCTGGATGGTTCCTCAAGAGGGTAAGATAGAATGTCAGGAAGTCGGCTTGAAATCACACTGCACTTATAATTGAGTTACAAAATTCTTCTTTGCACAGCCTCTTTCAAAATGTGTCATATGATGGCGTGAATTGTGAAGAAAACTTTTAAATTTATTTTTAAAAATCTAAAATGATAAACTATTTAGTTTTGGTGCCAAATCTGTAATTTTGTTGCCATAGAGAAAAAGAAGACAGAGAAGTCAATGCATAAATTAAATTGTTGGGTGTTCCTGTCACTCATCTTGTATGTTGTACCTGTCACTCATCTTGTATGTTGTACCTATTACTCATCTTGTATGTTGTACCTATCACTCATCTTGTATGTTGTACCTATCACTCATCTTGTATGTTGTACCTATTACTCATCTTGTATGTTGTACCTGTCACTCATCTTGTATGTTGTACCTGTCACTCATCTTGTATGTTGTACCTGTCACTCATCTTGTATGTTGTACCTGTCACTCATCTTGTATGTTGTACCTGTCACTCATCTTGTATGTTGTAACTGTCACTCATCTTGTATGTTGTACCTGTCACTTATCTTGTATGTTGTAACTGTCACTCATCTTGTATGTTGTACCTATTACTCATCTTGTATGTTGTACCTATCACTCATCTTGTATGTTGTACCTATTACTCATTGTGTATGTTGTACCTATCACTCATCTTGTATGTTGTACCTATCACTCATCTTGTATGTTGTACCTATCACTCATCTTGTATGTTGTACATGTCACTCATCTTGTATGTTGTACCTATCACTCATCTTGTATGTTGTACATGTCACTCATCTTGTATGTTGTACCTGTCACTCATCTTGTATGTTGTACCTGTCACGCATCTTGTATGTTGTACCTGTCACTCATCCTCCTATCAATTTTGATGGCAGGTTTAATTATTTTGGCACTAAATATGTTAATGCAAAAAATAGTTTTATTTATAATTTATACAGAATTCAATCAAACTACAGCAAATTTGTTTATGTTTTTTTTTAAATTTTAATTTCTTTAAAAATAGTATTTGTAATACTCATACTGGTTTCTAAGCTTCTTTTGGACAGAATGTAATGACAATATTCTTTTATTTTACTTGTCTCTTGCACTCTTGCTTTACACATTATGTCAGCATACAATTTAGAACAAATAGTGTTCAAATTTTACTTCCTGGATTGGATCATTGGAAATGCCTTTTGTTTTGCTTCTCTTGCTCACAAGATCACTGTTGTACACTTATGTTGTACACTTATGTTGTACACTTGTGTTGTACACTTGTGTTGTACACTTGTGTTGTACACTTATGTTGTACACTTATGTTGTACACTTATGTTGTACACTTATGTTGTACACTTATGTTGTACACTTATGTTGTACACTTATGTTGTACACTTGTGTTGTACACTTATGTTGTACACTTATGTTGTACACTTGTGTTGTACACTTATGTTGTACACTTATGTTGTACACTTGTGTTGTACACTTGTGTTGTACACTTATGTTGTACACTTGTGTTGTACACTTATGTTGTACACTTGTGTTGTACACTTATGTTGTACACTTGTGTTGTACACTTGTGTTGTACACTTATGTTGTACACTTATGATTTCTCCCGCAGCTTGTGGTGACAGACTTAAAGAACCCCCAGTGGAAATATTACTTCCCTTGTGATCAGTGGCTGGCTAAAGACGAGGGCGACCGTGAAATCTGCAGAGACCTCCTGGCTTTTAGAGATCCAATGGCCGTCAGAAAACGTGAGTTACCCCATGAAGATGCAAAACATCGCTTTAGAAGCTTAAAGAGCAGCTCATTGATGGCTGTTCTTGCTGTGCAGAGAATTAGGGCAACTCAACAATCATTGTTCTTGCTGTGCAGAGAACTAGGGCAACTCAACAATCATTGTTCTTGCTGTGCAGAGAATTAGGGCAACTCAACAATCATTGTTCTTGCTGTGCAGAGAATTAGGGCAACTCAACAATCATTGTTCTTGCTGTGCAGAGAATTAGGGCAACTCAATAATCATTGTTCTTGCTGTGCAGAGAACTAAGGCAACTCAACAATCATTGTTCTTGCTGTGCAGAGAATTAGGGCAACTCAATAATCATTGTTCTTGCTGTGCAGAGAACTAGGGCAACTCAACAATCGTTCCTCTTGCAGTGGAGAGAATTTAGCGTTTAGTTAAATTTAAATTCTGCAATTCTAATAGAATTTGTATTTTTTTTTGTACTGTATGATTGTTCATAATTTATTAGTTATATGAACCAATGTTAATGTTTTTAAGCCCGTGTAACTTTGCAGCTGTCCTATTCTGTTACAGTTTGTAAATACAAAGTTACAGTCTACACTGGGAAAAAGTTTGGTGCGGGGACAGATGCAAACGTCACCATCACCATGTTCGGTGAGCTGGGCGACTCAGGGGAGAAAAAGCTGAGAAAGAGTCGGGTCAACTGCTTTGAGACAAACTCGTGAGTCCAGTTGTTTCCAGTCAGTTAGGTTTTTCTTATCAAGATTAGATTTCCTGGCCCACCACCATTGATGCTAAATGACGGGTTTTGGCATGTCCAATAATGTTTCATTGTAATGTTAGTTAGGTCAGAACTCTCATTACCCATGTGTATCTGATTGTCTGACAAAACTAGCTCATAATAATTTGTAGCCGTTATACTTAAGCTATGCACAGGGGTTTGGTTGTGTTAAATATTAATGGGGCTGATGTGTAAGTAAACAGATTTATCATTGTGACTTTAGTTAGGCAAACATTGGTTGGGATTTCTACCCACCTGTGTGTCATGTCACATCAGCCTGACCCACCTGTGTGTCATGTCACATCAGCCTGACCCACCAGTGTGTCACATCACCGTGACCCACCTGTTTGTCACATCAGCCTGACCCACCCGTGTGTCACATCAGCCTGACCCACCAGTGTGTCACATCACCGTGACCCACCTGTTTGTCACATCAGCCTGACCCACCCGTGTGTCACATCAGCCTGACCCACTAGTGTGTCACATCACCATGACCCACCTGTTTGTCACATCAGCCTGACCCACCCTACTTAAAATTCCTGTTATTTCAATGTTTTATTACAATAACTCAATTAAAAAGCTACAGGTTTTTCATCTTTAAAAACTCAAGCTTTTATTTTTCAGAGTTGATGAGTTTACATTAGAGTGTCCAAAACTTGGACGTCTGGACAGAGTTAGAATTGGACATGACAACACAGGCCCAAGTCCTGGCTGGTATCTTGAGAAGGTAAGTTGTCACAAATAATAATTCTCTCGGTATGTATTTATGGCTGTAACGCTCTGTTCAATAGGTGTGCAAAATACAAGTCCCAGATGTTAGCACAAATTGGGATTCTTATAAAGTGCTTTATTTGAATTTTCAAGTAAATTTAGTTTATGGAAAGTTGACTCATTCCAAATGCCATTGTTTGATAGGTTTTTTCTAGTAATTATAATGCATCTGTTAGAAGTCCGCAAAATTAATTCTTATACAGGGGAGATAATTTTTGTTTTAAACTTTTTTTATTCCTATTTTGGTTAAACCATTGCTACTAATGATATTTGTTAACTGGACATTTGACCATAGTGCAGAAACTAAAAAACCATGAACTTATGTGTAGGACCTTAATAATTTGGACTCAGAAAAAAAAATAATAATTGAACTATTGTTTATGCCATACTCACTGAAGGTCAAAGAAATAATCCACGCTGTGATCGTTTTCTTCATATTTAAACCACAATTTAAACAAATAGCAATAAAAAAAATTAAACATATTTTGATGCCTTACAATAAAGAAAAATATTTGAAAGCCAGGTAGGTATCAAGAGAGAAGCTGTCGATATTTATTTCACTGTTTAAATCAGCATGGTGGTCAAAGACAATTTATAATATGTACAATAGTTAAAACAAGTCGTACAACAGAGGTCACGTGATAAGGCACATCCGTGTCACACATTTCAACATGACAACAAAGTGAGGCAATGCGAACTACAACTTGACTGAGTAATGTAGTGTTGGTTTTAACAATAGCAGCTGATGTGTTGTATGCAAAAATTCACAGCAATATTTACATGTGTTGATGATTGTGAGTAAGACTAGGAACAATGCGATCAATGCGAGTGGGTAAAACAACATTCTACACATACATGATTTAAAACATATGTTTGCTGTAATGCCATATCTTTTATGTCTAGCCATTTGAATGTTGGATAGCCATTTTTATGTTATATTGCCATTTGTATGTTGTCTAGCCATATGTCGTACCAAAGTATCTACTCAGTTGACCATAAGAAAGCTGTACGTTCTTTCAGCAGATTAAATTGATGAGCGAATCGTGAGCTGAGTGAACAATCACTTTGTAAATCTGAGCAGGTTTGCAGGGGGAAATAGTTACACTGCAAAGCTGAATCCAGCCGTCAAAATTAATTAACTTAAGTTACAATCTTAATCGTAATGCAAAAATTATTTTCCTTAATTAAACTGGTTAACTACCTTGAGTCGCTGGGAGCGGCTCGGCGTTGCTTTCCTTATGGCCATGAGCCGCTGGTAGCGCCAATGTTATTATCGTAGTAAATCGAGTCAAATATTTATATTATTCCATTCCCATTTCGCTTCGAGATTTTAATTTACCGACCGAATGTTTATATTCGAAGCGCATGCTGTCAGCAGAATGTTTTAAAAAAATGAAATGTTAATTAGTTTTGATTTTATTTCCTAGCTAGTTACAAAATAGCTTACTGCGGCAACAAGTGACATGGTTACTAAAGGCATATAAGTGATTGGAAGTGTAAATATTTTTCAATTTCTGTGTTCTTTGGTGCATTTTATTTATTTTTGGATATACTATTTGGAAACAACCAAATAAAAGGCTTTAAATGATTTGGAAATTTATAATTTATACGTAAGTTGGCACATCAATATATATTTTTTATTGTTTTTCTATTGAAAATACTAATTTAACAATTAATAATTTCCTAACAAAAACTTAACTTTACAAATATTTTAAATTTATATTATAGAACAATCACCTACGAAATTTTTTTTTAATCATTAGAATATGTTTATAATTGAGAAAACTGCAGCTGAATTTGTACATACACCTAAAATGAAAAAAAATGTGACCTAGATTTAATTCGGCCACAGCTGGTTTTTCAATCTGGTAGTTAATCAGTTCAGAAAATAATTTTTGATTTGAAAAAAAAAAAAAAATGTTGAGGCCCATGTGGTTTTTTGTTTATTCAAAAAGTGGAGAGTGAATACAGGCCCAAAAAACAGCACATGTTGACAGATGGGGCCCTAAATATACATAAAACTATGATCATGCTCACACCCTCCCATCAGGCAACCAATGGAAATCTCAGATCTTTTTTCCAGCATGTTTAATGAAAACAAAGAAATGCACAGAAATAAGTTAAGAAAAAGTCATTTTTTTACACTATTATGTCAAGTTGTACAAGTTCTTACATGAATAGAACATGCACAAGCTGTACAGCCCAGCTCAACACAAGCATTTTATCTTACTTAAAAATAGTAGTTATGGCTATAGAGATATCCCCACCCACCGTGTCTCCAGTGGTTATAGGTCTCCACCCACTGTGTCTCCAGTGGTTATAGGTCTCCACCCACCATGAACACAGTTGTTATAGGTATAGAGATATCCCTACAGACCATGTTCCCAGTTGTTATACCTATAGAAATATCCCCACCCATCATTTTCCCAGTTGTCATAACTATAGAGATATTCCCACCCATCATTTTCCCAGTTGTTGTAGCTTTAGAGATATCCCACCCACCATGTCCCCAGTAATCATAGTTATAGAGATATCCCCAACCACCATTTTCCCCAGTTGTTGTAGCTTTAGAGATATCCCCAACCACCATGTCCCCAGTTATCATAGCTATAGAGATGCTAAAAAGAAAGCTAAGTTGGTGTGGTAACTATGCTACGGGTTGACAACCAAAAAACTATGAAGTAGCTGGGGTTGTCTGATGTCTACTTTTGAAAACAACACAATTTATTTGAGCCGTACTGAACACATGAACCAACATATTTGCTAGTATACGCAACTTGTAGCACACATCATGATCTCTGTAAAATTGTGCATCCACATTAAATGACATCCACATTTAATGACATCCACATTTAATGACATTTTCAAAATAAACGTGTCCAAGCAGTTGAATGTTTATTTTTTTCCCCCAAGACACAAAGTCACGTGGCTTGTGAATTCAATATTGCTGGCTTGTTTGTTCAACATTGTTCGCCATAATGATTTTTTTATTTATAGGGTAATGCCGGCAAAATCTTTTTTCTATGTTTTGTTTTGGTTGGTCATTTCACAAACACATTGAAATGGCTTTCCCACTTCCGGTTTTTCCATGCCATGACGTCATCCTTTGTAGCACTCATCTTTTCTTTTGACACATCAATCCTTGACATATTCGTCATCTTTCGAAGAGCAGCTCAGGCGTTGTATGGCCAGCTTGAACCGAGGTGTCTTCCGGGGCAGTGATTTATGTGTTGTAGATTTATATGACAGTCAGTGTACCGACCCCACAACTGACACACGCCCTTGGTTCGAGTCCTACTTCTCACGACCCTTGATGCTTTCGCATTTTTATAATTTGTGATTTGTAACATGTGAGACCACTGCAGGGGCGTGAAGGTGAACAATGGTGCGGTAGTCTGTCTTAGGACGGAACTCTTTCAAAATTCTAGGTTCCCAAGAGTTGTCAAACAACAACAAACCAATCGTCTGCAATGACGTCAACAATCCACTTATCCACATATGACAGTAGCTCTTATCAACAGGGGGAGTGCGGGTAGGCTGAAGTCCTCAGTTGGTGGTGAGCACCAAAGCATCAGTTGTGAATTGAAAGAGTCTCTATAATTAAAAACAAAAACAAATGGAAGTACTTGTCCCCCCAAATTTACCCACATGATCACGTGCAAGCCTTCCGTCATGGAGTCTTGCCAGGTGGAACGTCCACAGAGGATGCGCTGGTAGAGCACGCGGTGTCCTTTAGGGAATGGTCACCCCACATTCGTACCAGTCTGGGGAAGGCTTGATGGCATTCAGGGATCCAAGGGTCGGCTCTTGACCCCAGTTACTGCGTGCGAACCCTAGAAAAAATAATGAAAATGTGTTGTTTATTTGAGGAGAGGAACAGATCAAAATGGCTTCCGTTGCTGACATTAGGATTTTACATTGATTTTTTTTTTTTAATGGAAAGATTTAATGACATTGTAAAGATTTATCTTCATAATAATAAAATCATTGTAAACATATTATAATTCAATTAAGAATTATAAACCTGGACATTTTTGCCTAAGTCAATTTAAAAGTAAAATTTCGTCCCAGTTAATGGTTTCAATAATTTGAAAGTAAAGCTCTCTCGCCCACAATAATAAAGATTTCTCGCCCACAATAATAAAGGTTTCTTTCCCACAATAATAAAGGTTTCTTGAACACAATAATAAAGGTTTCTTGAACACAATAATAAAGGTTTCTTTCCCACAATAATAAAGGTTTCTTGCCCACAATAATAAAGGTTTCTTTCCCACAATAATAAAGGTTTCTTGCCCACAATTATAAAGATTTCTTGAACACAATAATAAAGGTTTCTTTCCCACAATAATAAAGGTTTCTTGCCCACAATAATAAAGGTTTCTTTCCCACAATAATAAAGGTTTCTTGCCCACAATTATAAAGATTTCTTGAACACAATAATAAAGGTTTCTTTCCCACAATAATAAAGGTTTCTTGCCCACAATAATAAAGGTTTCTTGCCCACAATAATAAAGGTTTCTTGCCCACAATTATAAAGATTTCTTGAACACAATAATAAAGGTTTCTTTCCCACAATAATAAAGGTTTCTTGCCCACAATAATAAAGGTTTCTTTCCCACAATAATAATGGTTTCTTGCCCACAATTATAAAGATTTCTTGAACACAATAATAAAGGTTTCTTTCCCACAATAATAAAGATTTCTTTCCCACAATAATAAAGGTTTCTTGCCCACAATTATAAAGATTTCTTGAACACAATAATAAAGGTTTCTTGCCCACAATTATAAAGATTTCTTTCCCACAATAATAAAGGTTTCTTTCCCACAATAATAAAGGTCTCTTGAACACAATAATAAAGGTTTCTTGAACACAATAATAAAGGTTTCTTGAACACAATAATAAAGGTTTCTTTCCCACAATAATAAAGGTTTCTTTCCCACAATAATAAAGGTTTCTTGAACACAATAATAAAGGTTTCTTGAACACAATAATAAAGGTTTCTTTCCCACAATAATAAAGGTTTCTTGCCCACAATGATAAAGGTTTCTTTCCCACAATAATAAAGGTTTCTTGCCCACAATTATAAAGATTTCTTGAACACAATAATAAAGGTTTCTTTCCCACAATAATAAAGGTTTCTTGCCCACAATAATAAAGGTTTCTTTCCCACAATAATAATGGTTTCTTGCCCACAATTATAAAGATTTCTTGAATACAATAATAAAGGTTTCTTTCCCACAATAATAAAGGTTTCTTGCCCACAATAATAAAGGTTTCTTTCCCACAATAATAAAGGTTTCTTGCCCACAATAATAAAGGTTTCTTTCCTACAATAATAATGGTTTCTTGCCCACAATTATAAAGATTTCTTGAATACAATAATAAAGGTTTCTTTCCCACAATAATAAAGGTTTCTTGCCCACAATAATAAAGGTTTCTTGAACACAATAATAAAGGTTTCTTGCCCACAATAATAAAGGTTTCTTTCCCACAATAATAATGGTTTCTTGCCCACAATTATAAAGATTTCTTGAACACAATAATAAAGGTTTCTTTCCCACAATAATAAAGGTTTCTTGCCCACAATAATAAAGGTTTCTTTCCCACAATAATAAAGGTTTCTTGCCCACAATTATAAAGATTTCTTGAACACAATAATAAAGGTTTCTTTCCCACAATAATAAAGGTTTCTTGCCCACAATAATAAAGGTTTCTTTCCCACAATAATAAAGGTTTCTTGCCCACAATTATAAAGATTTCTTGAACACAATAATAAAGGTTTCTTTCCCACAATAATAAAGGTTTCTTGCCCACAATAATAAAGGTTTCTTTCCCACAATAATAAAGGTTTCTTGCCCACAATTATAAAGATTTCTTGAACACAATAATAAAGGTTTCTTTCCCACAATAATAAAGGTTTCTTGCCCACAATAATAAAGGTTTCTTTCCCACAATAATAAAGGTTTCTTGCCCACAATTATAAAGATTTCTTGAACACAATAATAAAGGTTTCTTTCCCACAATAATAAAGGTTTCTTGCCCACAATAATAAAGGTTTCTTTCCCACAATAATAATGGTTTCTTGCCCACAATTATAAAGATTTCTTGAACACAATAATAAAGGTTTCTTTCCCACAATAATAAAGGTTTCTTTCCCACAATAATAACGGTTTCTTGCCCACAATTATAAAGATTTCTTGCCCACAATAATAAAGGTTTCTTTCCCACAATTATAAAGGTTTCAGTCAGTATTCAAGTGTAATCCACAATCGTACCGTGGTGTCTTGTACTTGATACTGTGTCATAGTCAGGGTATTTATTTGTCTGGTTTTTGTTTTCAAACTCAATGAACCCCGAGTTATGTAACAGTAGTGGGGCACCTCGTGCTGCCCCGAGTTATGTAACAGTAGTGGGGCACCTCATGCTGCCCCGAGTTATGTAACAGTAGTGGGGCACCTCGTGCTGTCCCGAGTTATGTAACAGTAGTGGGGCACCTCGTGCTGCCCCGAGTTATGTAACAGTAGTGGGGCACCTCATGCTGCCCCGAGTTATGTAATAGTGGTGGGTTGCCTCGTGCTGCCCCGAGTTATGTAACAGTAGTGGGGCGCCTCGTACTGTCCCGAGTTATGTAAGAGTAGTGGGGCACCTCATGCTGCCCCGAGTTATGTAACAGTAGTGGGGCACCTGGTGCTGCCCTCGATCTGTGAATGGAGTGACGTCATTGAAGTGCGGCGACCCTGCTAACGAGAACCTTTCTGCAAGGGAGCTAATGGGATTTTGTTTATACTGAGCACGTGCTACGGATATGTCATCTCCGGCTTTAGGGTTCCCGTCTTGAGACATACCTCTTTTATTTCCCGTCTTGATAAATACATCTATTTGTTCTCGTCTTGAGACACACATCTATTAGTTCCCACCTTGAGACATACATCTATTAGTTCCCATCTTGAGACATGCATCGATTAGTTCCCGTCTAAGATATACATCTATTAGTTTACGTCTTGAGACATGCATCTGTTAGTTCCCATCTTGAGACATGCATCGATAAGTTCCCGTCTAAGATATACATCTATTAGTTCCCGTCTTGAGACATGCATCTATTTGTTCCCGTCTTGAGACATACATCTGTTAGTTCCCGTCTAAGACATACATCTATTAGTTCCCGTCTAAGACATACATCTATTAGTTCCCATCTTGAGACATGCATCGATTAGTTCCCGTCTAAGACATACATCTATTAGTTCCCATCTTGAGACATGCATCGATTAGTTCCCGTCTAAGACATACATCTATTAGTTCCCGTCTAAGACATACATCTAATAGTTCCCATCTTGAGACATGCATCTATTTGTTCCCGTCTAAGACATACATCTGTTAGTTCCGTCTAAGACATACATCTATTAGTTCCCGTCTTGAGACGTACATCTGTTAGTTCCCGTCTAAGACATACATCTATTAGTTCCCGTCTTGAGACGTGCATCTATTAACAGTTGTCTCAGACCACGTGATGTAGAACTGTTGGTTTTCTCCCCATCTGTTTACCTCTCCCGAAACCAAAGAAAAATTTACCGTATATTCTGAGCGCTCAACTTAATTTGTCAATTAGCTCAGCTCGTCGCAACCTGCTTCTTGTTGGCAAATACGTTGAAAGGTTTCTTACAGAGCCGATATTGTGTACCTTCCCTGCCAGTAACACTTGAGTCGCATCATAGATTTTTGGACGACATGTTTTGGGGAATGTTTTCATAATTGCTGCATGGTGATGGATTGCTTGAGAGATAAGTCTCAGGAAAATGATGTTTAGTTCGTGTGATATTGAATGTTTAGTTCGTGTGATATTTGATGTATAGTTGGTGTGCTATTGGATGTTTAGTTCGTGTGCTATTGGATGTTTAGTTCGTGTGCTATTGGATGTTTAGTTCGTGTGATATTGGATGTTTAGTTCGTGTGATATTGGATGTTTAGGTCATGTGATATTGGATGTTTAGTTCATGTGATATTGGATGTTTAGTTCGTGTGATATTGGATGTTTAGGTCCTGTGATATTGGATGTTTAGTTCGTGTGATATTGGATGTTTAGTTCGTGTGATATTGGATGTTTAGTTAGTGTGATATTGGATGTTTAGTTCGTGTGATATTGGATGTTTTGTTCGTGTGATATTGGATGTTTAGTCTGTGTGATATTGGATGTTTAGTTCGTGTGATATTGGATGTTTAGTTCGTGTGATATTGGATGTTCAGTTCGTGTGATATTGGATGTTTAGTTCGTGTGATATTGGATGTTTAGTTCGTGTGATATTGGATGTTTAGGTCCTGTGATATTGGATGTTTAGTTAGTGTGATATTGGATGTTTAGTTCGTGTGCTATTGGATGTTTAGTTCTTTTGATATTGGATGTTTAGTTAGTGTGATATTGGATGTTTAGTTCGTGTGATATTGGATGTTTAGGTCATGTGATATTGGATGTTTAGTTCGTGTGATATTGGATGTTTAGTTCGTGTGATATTGGATGTTTAAGTACTGTGATATTGGATGTTTAGTTCGTGTGATATTGGATGTTTAGTTCGTGTGATATTTGATGTTTAGTTCGTGTGATATTGGATGTTTAGTTCTTTTGATATTGGATGTTTAGTTCGTGTGATAATGGATGTTTAGTTCGTGTGATATTGGATGTTTAGGTCATGTGATATTGGATGTTTAGTTCGTGTGATATTGGATGCTTAGTTCGTGTGATATTGGATGTTTAGTTCGTGTGATATTGGATGTTTAGGTCATGTGATATTGGATGTTTAGTTCGTGTGATATTGAATGTTTAGTTCGTGTGATATTGGATGTTTAGGTCCTGTGATATTGGATGTTTAGTTCGTGTGATATTGGATGTTTAGTTCGTGTGATATTGGATGTTTAGTTAGTGTGATATTGGATGTTTAGTTCGTGTGATATTGGATGTTTAGTTCGTGTGATATTGGATGTTTAGGTCATGTGATATTGGATGTTTAGTTCGTGTGATATTGGATGTTTAGTTAGTGTGATATTGGATGTTTAGTTCGTGTGATATTGGATGTTTAGGTCATGTGATATTGGATGTTTAGGTCATGTGATATTGGATGTTTAGTTCGTGTGCTATTGGATGTTTAGGTCCTGTGATATTGGATGTTTAGTTCGTGTGATATTGGATGTTTAGTTCGCGTGATATTGGATGTTTAGTTCGTGTGATATTGGATGTTTTGTTCGTGTGATAATGGATGTTTATGTCATGTGATATTGGATGTTTAGTTCGTGTGATATTGGATTGTTAGGTCGTGTGATATTGGATGTTTAGTTCGAGTGATTTTGGAATTTTAGTTCGTGTGATTTGGATGTTTAGGTCATATGATATTGGATGGTTAAGTAATGTGATATTGGATGGTTAGGTGTTGTGATATTGGATATTTAGTTCGTGTGATATTGGATGTTTAGGTCATGTGATATTGGATGTTTGGATCATGTGATATTGGATGGTTAGGTCATGTGATATTGGATTTTAGGTCACGTGATATTGGATGGATAGGTCATGTGATATTGGATGGATAGGTCATGTGATATTGGATTTTAGGTCACGTGATATTGGATGGTTAGGTTATGTGATATCGGATGATTAGGTCACTTGATATTGGATATTTAGTTCGTGTGATTTGGATGTTTAGGTCATATGATATTTGATGGTTAAGTCATGTGATATTTGATGGTTAGGTCATGTGATATGGATGTTTAGGTCGTGTGATATTGGATGTTTAGGTAGTGTGATATTGGATGGTTAGTTCCAGTGATATTGGATGTTTAGTTCGTGTGATATTGGATGTTTAGGTCATATGATATAGGATGGTTAATTCATGTGATATTGGATGGTTAGGTCATGTGATATTGGATGTTTAGGTCATGTGAAATTGAATGTTTAGTTCATGTGATATTGGATGTTTAGTTCGTGTGATATTGGATGATTAGTTCGTGTGATATTGGATGTTTAGTTCGTGTGATATTGGATGTTTAGTTCGTGTGATATTGGATGGTTAGTTCGTGTGATATTGGATGTTTAATTCGTGTGATATTGGATGGTTAGGTTATGTGTAATTGGATGATTAGGTCACGTGATATTAGATGTTTAGTTCGCGTGATATTGGAATTTTAGTTCGTATGATTTGGATGTTTAGGTCATATGATATTGGATGGTTGAGTCATGTGATATTGGATGTTTAGGTCATGTGATATTGGATGTTTAGGTCATGTGATATTGAATGTTTAGTTCGTGTGATATTGGATGTTTAATTCGTGTGATATTAGATGGTTAGGCCATGTGATATTGGATGTTTAGTTCGTGTGACTTTGGATGGTTAGGTCCTGTGATTTTGGATGGTTAGGTCCTGTGATATTGGATGTTTGGGTCATGTGATATTGGATGGTTAGGTCATGTGATGTTGGATTTTAGGTCCTGTGATATTGGATGTTTAGGTCATGTGATATTGGATTTTTAAGTAAATTGAAATGTATCGCCTTGTAACAATATTTCCAAGTAAATTGTAATGTATCGCCTTGTAACACTACGTTATTAGTCAATTGTAATGTATCGCCTTGTAACACTATGTTCTTAGTCAATTGTAATGTATCGCCTTGTAACAATTTGTTCCTAGTCAATTGTAATGTATCGCCTTAAAAGGATTTAGTTGAGATGGAGTGTTGATTCAAATAGGTAGGCCTTTGTTGAAAGGAACTTGCGCAAGCGCTTACAATTTGGAGATCAACTTGTTCATTTAAAAGATGGAAGATTTTATGAGTCAAATACTTCTTCGGACAGTGATAGTTACAGTACCGGCTCTTGTAACGTATTTTTCCAGAACCTCCTCTTGTAACATATAGTTCCAGTACCTGCTCTTGTAACGTATAGTTCCAGTACCTGCTCTTGTAACGTATAGTTCCAGAACCTCCTCTTGTAACGTATAGTTCCAGTACCTGCTCTTGTAACGTATAGTTCCAGTACCTGCTCTTGTAACGTATAGTTCCAGAACCTCCTCTTGTAACGTATAGTTCCAGAACCTCCTCTTGTAACGTATAGTTCCAGTACCTGCTCTTGTAACGTATAGTTCCAGAACCTGCTCTTGTAACGTATAGTTCCAGTACCTGCTCTTGTAACGTATAGTTCCAGTACCTGCTCTTGTAAGTATAGTTCCATTACCGGCTCTTGTAACGTATAGTTCCATTACCGGCTCTTGTAACGTATAGTTCCAGTACCTGCTCTTGTAATGTATAGTTCAGTACCTGCTCTTGTAACTCTTATAACGTATAGTTCCAGTATCTGCTCTTGTAACGTATAGTCCCAATACCTGCTCTTATAACGCATAGTTACAGTACCTGCTCTTGTAACGCATTGTTCCCGTACCTGCTCTTATAACGCATTGTTCCCGTACCTGCTCTTATAACGCATTGTTCCCGTACCTGCTCTTATAACGCATTGTTGCAGTACCTGCTCTTATAACGCATTGTTCCCGTACCTGCTCTTATAACGCATTGTTGCAGTACCTGCTCTTATAACGCATTGTTCCCGTACCTGCTCTTATAACGCATTGTTCCCGTACCTGCTCTTATAACGCATTGTTCCCGTACCTGCTCTTATAACGCATAGTTCCAGTACCTGCTCTTATAACGCATAGTTCCAGTACATCTGCTCTTATAACGCATAGTTCCAGTACACCTGCACTTATAACGCATAGTTCCAGTACACCTGTTCATATAACGCATAGTTCCAGTACACCTGCTCTTATAACGCATAGTTCCAGTACACCTGCTCTTATAACGCATAGTTCCAGTACACCTGCTCTTATAACGCATAGTTCCAGTACCTGATCTGGTAAGGGAGTCAAAAATAACGTCACATAGTAGATCCGATCTATGAACCCGACACAAAAAGTTGAGGGAGAGTTGTCGATAATATTAATGTCAATCAATTTTATGTGCAATTGAAATCAATGCTAATGATTCAGAACACGTCTTTAGAACAAGTCTTTAAAACACGTCTTTAGAACAAGTCTTTAAAACCCGTCTTTAGAACAAGTCTTTAAAGCACGTCTTTAGAACAAGTCTTTAAAACACGTCTTTAGAACAAGTCTTTAAAACACGTCTTTAGAACAAGTCTTTAAAACACGTCTTTAGAACAAGTCTTTAAAACACGTCTTTAGAACAAGTCTTGAAAACACGTCTTTAGAACAAGTCTTTAAAACACGTCTTTAGAACAAGTCTTTAAAACACGTCTTTAGAACAAGTCTTTAAAACACGTCTGTAAAGATTTCAATTCTGGTCTCTTGCATTGTTTCTCGAATGGTGTACATCAATACTTCTAATTTGCAATCGTGTCTTATTGTGAGAAATGCTCTGTGTATCCCCGAAAAAAGCATTCCTATAATATTATAATGCCACACACGTGAGTTGTGTAAACTAACTCCCATTATATTGATTGGAATTTAATATTAGTCTTACTTTATAGCTGAAACATTCTATAATTAGCTTCTTTTTTTTTAACTACTTGGTTTTATGTCATTTACATTTTAAAAAGCATTCCTATAATATTATAATGCCACACACGTGAGTTGTGTAAACTAACTCCCATTATATTGATTGGAATTTAATATTAGTCTTACTTTATAGCTGAAACATTCTATAATTAGCTTCTTTTTTTTTAACTACTTGGTTTTATGTCATTTACATTTTAAAAAGCAACAACTAAAGAATGTTACTATTTAAAACTTATATTTTAAAGCAGATCATTTCCTGGAAAACCTGATAAACGAACTAGTTCAATTAAATCATTTCCTGGCAAAACCCGATGAACCAACTAGCTCAAATAGATCATTTCCTGGAAAACCTGATGAACCAACTATTTCAATTAAATCACCTCCCGGAAAACCCGATGAACCAACTAGTTCAAATAGATCATTTCCAGGAAAACCCAATGAACCAACTAGTTCAATTAAATCATTTCATGGAAAACCTCATTGAATCACTATTTTAAGTGTTGGTAAATTGCCAAGGTTTGTAATTTCAAGTTTATAAGTTTACAATTTAGCTTTTCGGATACTTAGGAATCCAATAATATTTTTTTGGCTTTAAAGCTGACTTATTTTTCTATGAGAAATTAAGTACTATGAACTTGAACTACTGGATCGACCTCATGACAACAACTCCTCAACTCCGGCCAGAAAGCGGGGCCACCCATGGTGTTCACCAGCAAACCTTGGCCACCCATGGTGTTCACCAGCAAACCTTAGCCACCCATGGTGTTCACCAGCAAACCTTGGCCTCCCATGGTGTTCACCAGCAAACCTTGGCCTCCCATGGTGTTCACCAGCAAACCTTGGCCACCCATGGTGTTCACCAGCAAACCTTGGCCACCCATGGTGTTCACCAGCAAACCTTGGCCACCCATGGTGTTCACCAGCAAACCTTGGCCACCCATGGTGTTCACCAGCAAACCTTGGCCACCCATGGTGTTCACCAGCAAACCTTGGCCACCCATGGTGTTCACCAGCAAACCTTGGCCACCCATGGTGTTCACCAGCAAACCTTGGCCACCCATGGTGTTCACCAGCAAACCTTGGCCACCCATGGTGTTCACCAGCAAACCTTGGCCACCCATGGTGTTCACCAGCAAACCTTGGCCACCCATGGTGTTCACCAGCAAACCTTAGCCACCCATGGTTTTCACCAGCAAATCTTGGCCTCCCATGGTGTTCACCAGCAAACCTTGGCCACCCATGGTGTTCACCAGCAAACCTTAGCCACCCATGGTGTTCACCAGCAAACCTTGGCCACCCATGGTGTTCACCAGCAAACCTTGGCACAAGTCCTGCCCACGAGACCAATCTACTCAACAATCTACTCAACACTTCTTGTTTTTTGATCACACCTTTTGTTCATCAGTGTTTTAAATATGCACTTGGGAGCAGGGGGCTTGTCTAAGAATAGAAACAGCCGTTATCGTCATGCGCGTATGGAAGAAAGCCTCAAGAGTTCTGGTAGTGGTTTGACAACAACAACAAAAAAAAACAACCAAAAGAAAAAAAAAAAGAAAAAAAGCTGAACTGTGAGCGTTGTAGCACATGTTGAACACAGAACTTTCCAGCAACGACATGCCGTAAATCATGTCAGTTGATGTCGGCAATCCCGTGGAGTGGGACTCGTAATCGAAGTATTAATGGCATGAGTATGATCAGACGGCCCACGTCATGACATTTGATCACTTTCGCCATGTAATGATTGAGATGGGTCACTTTGCTTACGTAATGATATGAGTAGGTTCACTTTTCCTAAGTAATGATATGAGTAGGTTCACTTTTCCTAAGTAATGATATGAGTAGGTTCACTTTTCCTAAGTAATGATATGAGTAGGATCACTTTGGCCTAAATAATGATATGAGTAGGATCACTTTGCTTACGTAATAATTGAGTAGGATCACTCTGGCCTACATACTGATATGAGTAGGATCACTTTTTTTCATGTAATAATATGAGTAGGATCCCCTTTTTATACGTAATGATTGAGTAGGATGACTTTGACCATGTAATATTATGAGTAGGATCACTTTGCATACGTAATGAACTGAGTAGGATCACTTTGCCTACCTAATGAACTGAGTAGGATCACTTTGCCTACGTAATGAACTGATTAGGATCACTTTGCCTACGTAATGATATGATCAGGATCACTTTGCCTAAGTAATGAACTGATAAGGATCACTTTGCCAACGTAATGAACTGAGTAGGATCACTTTGCCTACCTAATGAACTGAGTAGGATCACTTTGCCTACGTAATGAACTGATTAGGATCACTTTGCCTACGTAATGATATGATCAGGATCACTTTGCCTAAGTAATGAACTGAGTAGGATCACTTTGCCTACGTAATAATATGATCAGGATCACTTTGTTTGTCTACGTAATGAACAGATTAGGATCACTTTGCCTACGTAATGAACTGATTAGGATCACTTTGCCTGCGTAATGATATGATCAGGATCACTTTTCCTAAGTAATGAACTGAGTAGGATCACTTTGCCTACGTAATGATATGATCAGGATCACTTTGCCTAAGTAATCAACAGATTAGGATCATTTTGCCTACGTAATGAACTGATTAGGATCACTTTGTCTACGTAATGAACAGATTAGGATCACTTTTCCTACGTAATGAACTGATTAGGTTGACTTTGCATACGTAATGATATGATCAGGATCACTTTGCCTAAGTAAGTAACTGAGTATAATCACTTTGCCTACGCAATGATATGATCAGGATCACTTTGTCTACGTAATGAACAGATTAGGATCATTGTGCCTACGTAATGAACTGATTAGGATCACTTTGCCTACGTAATGATATGATCAGGATCACTTTGCCTAAGTAATGAACTGAGTAGGATCACTTTGCCTACGTAATGATATGATCAGGATCACTTTGTCTACGTAATGAACTGATTAGGATCACTTTGCCTACGTAATGATATGATCAGGATCACTTTGCCTAAGTAATGAACTGAGTAGGATCACTTTGCCTACGTAATGATATGATCAGGATCACTTTGTCTACGTAATGAACTGATTAGGATCACTTTCCTTCGTAATGAATTGAGTAGGATCACTTTGCCTACGTAATGAACTGATAAGGATCACTTTGCCTACGTAATGATATGATCAGGATCATTTTGCCTAAGTAATTAACTGAGTAGAATCACTTTTCCTACGTAATGAACTGATTAGGATCACTTTGTCTACGTAATGAACTGATTAGGATCACTTTCCTTCGTAATGAATTGAGTAGGATCACTTTGCCTACGTAATGAACTGATAAGGATCACTTTGCCTACGTAATGATATGATCAGGATCATTTTGCCTAAGTAATTAACTGAGTAGAATCACTTTTCCTACGTAATGAACTGATTAGGATCACTTTGTCTACGTAATGAACTGATTAGGATCACTTTCCCACGTAATAAACTGAGTAGGATCACATTCCCACGTAATGAACTGAGTAGAATCACTTTGCCTAAGTAATGAACTGAGTAGGATCACTTTTCCTACGTAATGAACTGAGTAGGATCACTTTTCATATGTAATGAACTGAGTAGGATCACTTTCCCTACGTAATGAACTGAGTAGGATCACTCTGCCTGCGTAATGAACTGAGTAGGATCACTTTGCAAACGTAATGAACTGAGTAGGATCACTCTGCCTACGTAATGAACTGAGTAGGATCACTTTGCATACGTAATGAACTGAGTAGGATCACTTTTCATACCTTATGAACTGATTAGGATCACTTTGCATACGTAATGAACTGAGTAGGATCACTTTGCATACGTAATGAACTGAGTAGGATCACTTTGCATACGTAATGAACTGAGTAGGATCACTTTGCCTACGTAATGAACTGAGTAGGATCACTCTGCCTACGTAATGAACTGAGTAGGATCACTCTGCCTACGTAATGAACTGAGTAGGATCACTTTGCCTAAGTAATAATATCAGCAGGATCACTTGGCCTGTGTAATAATTTGAGTAGGATCACTTTTCCTACGTAATGATATTAGGGGGATCAATTTGACTACGTACTAAAGTGGCCGTCAGCTGCCTGGTCTCGTTTACAAGTTAAGTTGGCCATTATTAGCACGAGTATTTGCTGACTCTAGTCTGAGCAATGCATCGTTGATAAAGTGTGGAAATCGTTCCGTAAGGCATCTTACCAGTTGAGACCTCATCCCATCTTTGACCTCATCCCATATTAGCTCCTCATCCCAAATGAATTCCACTCTCCGGATGATATATCATATTGTTAATTTTACAGAACCTTTGCCCCCTGCCACTACAATGTTCAAACACCTTTGTCAATGGTCAACTATGTCATAGTGTGTGTGCTACCAGTCAATCGTGCTACCAGTCCCATCGTCACTTCAACCCAACAGGTAAACTCGTTCTACTGACCTTGTGAGAAGTAAGCTCCTCTCGCGGGGCTGAGCTTGATCGTAGAATGGTTTCTGGCGCCGACAAACTCGCAGTGGTCCTCCCCAAGCCCGATGTTGTCACCGACGTTCAAGAACTTGGAGTTGAGCGAGTTGGACAATAAGATTTTGTAACGTGTGGGCGAGCACAGCACGACGCCCACCAAGCGGACGTTTTTGTAGTTGAGCTTTTTCACGTACTGGTCGCCGTGGCAGTCGGTCCTGGACGCGTCGTATTCAAAGCTCAGTTTCAGCCACTCCTCCAGAACGTTGAGCTTCACTTCCGTTTTCAGGTCCAGCACCTGCTTTGCCGTGGCGTTGATGTCCCCGCCCAGAGCCGCCGTCTGCTGTTCCAGGTGGTCCACCATCTTCTTGAAGTCCCGTTGCTTGTTGGCCAGTTCGTGCACGGTACGCTGCATTTCCTCCTCGCGTTCGATTTTTGTCCTGTTCTTGTTGTTGAGTTTCCGCTCCAAGCGGTCCAGGTCGACCTGGACCAACGTCATTTTTTCGTCAATCTGCTGGTTGATGTCTTTGATCTTGCTCCGGAGTGTGTCGTTCAGCTTCCCGACGGCCGAGCTGACCACCGTGGTCAGGTTTTCCTGGAGCGTCTTGGAGCTGGTTCGCAGGTTATTGAACTCTTTCTCAAAGATTTGTCTGATCTCGCGGTACTCCACCTTGGTCTCGTTCTTGAAGTGATCAAAGGTGTGCTGGTAGATCTCCATCAGGCGCTGCATCTTGTTGAGCTTCTTGTTCTGCTCGTCCAACTCTAAAGTCGACCGGGTCAGCGAGGTGGAAGTGACGTTTTTCTTGATTTCGTTGATGAGAATCTCCAAGGGTTTGATCTTGTCCAGTTTAGCAAACACGTCTTTGAAACCCTCGGACAGCGATTCCATCTGCAAGGTCGCGGCCTTGAGGTTTTGGTCGAGCTCTCTAACTCTTGAGTTTATGTCCTTGGTGGCCTGCTGGGTTTTGTCGTCTTGAACTTTGAGTTTCTCTTCCAGAGCTGTGGCTTTCTTCTCGACGATGCTCAAAACCTCCGCAAGGGGTGAGTACAACATGGCCGTGATCTCACCGCGAAGTTTTTCTTCCATCTCCTTCTGTTTGTCGATTTGATCCCGAATCATGTTTTCCGTCCAGTTTTTCTCCTCCTCGCTGTCGTTTCGAAATTTGCTGACGTGCTCTGTGGGCTCAGGGTGCTCTGTGTGCGCCGCGTCCGTCGCCGTGGTATTTGATTTGTCGGCGTCACTCTGCTGGGTTCCTATTCGAGCTGCCGTGATGTCTTTGTTGACCGGCGCGTGGACCTCCGTCTCCTTGGTGTCGTTGAGCACCGTGTTATTGGCGCCACTGAACGAGTCGTTGGCTTCAGACAGGTCGTCTTTGAGAACGATCTCGGGCTCGTTAGTCAGAGAGATGCCCGTAAAGTTTGCCGTTGTGTTGGGCTCTATGGTGCTCTCCGGGACGGGGCTCCCGGCAACGGGGATTTCTTTGGCGGGGCTCTCGCCATTGGGGCTCTCTGTGGCGGGCCCCTCGTCAATGGGGCTCTCTGTGGCGGGGCTATGGGCATGGGGCACGGTCATATTTTTTATATAAATGCCAACATGCTTTGCTATCTGGTCGCCCGTATCGTCCACTTTCGATAAGATTTTCTCGAAATCAGCCCGCATGCCTTTATCATTCAGCATCGGGAGCGTCCTCTCAGGGGCAATAGTCTTGGGTTTGTCTTTCAAGTTGACACTCGGTTGCGTTGTCTGGCTGTTTTGATTGTCGGTTCTCTTGGGATACATGCGGAACAGCTGGTTGTAAAGCACTACCTGCTCCTGAACGTAGGATTCCAACTTTTTAGTTAAATTCTCGACGGCGGTCTTCATCTCTGACTGCACCAGCGATTTAATGAAAGCCGGAGTGGCGTCGGCGTTGGTGTCTATGGTGTTGAACGGAAGGCCAGATTTATCACTGGCCCCGTTGACATGCCTCAACTTGGCGATGCTTGTCAAATCTGGCTGGATCTGGTCCAGGGATTTCTCGAGGTTGTCCAGTCGGTTGTTCACCAACATGTTTATTTCATCCTCAGAACTTCGGGAATGGAACTCCTGCTCCAGCCTGTCCAGCTTTTCTGCATTGAGTTGTCTTTCTTTTTCCAGCAGGAGTTGTAAATCGGCGACTTCCTGTTTGTAGAGGTTAACCTTGATCTCCATGGAGTTCAGCCTGCGCATGACCTATGAAAATAAGAATAGCTAATAGATAGAAATGATAGGAAATTGATTTACATTTTATTATAAGAAATATTGTTAAGATAAAAAGATGCGTCATCCATCCATTTAGTCTCGAAACTCATCCATTTATTCCATTTATAAGACCATACATACGGCCAAACATAATACCATACACAAGACCATAGATAAGACCATACATAAGACCATACAAAAGACAGTAGAACAAACATAACACCATACATAAGACATACAGAAGACTATACATAATACCAAACATAAGAACATACATAAGGCCATTCATTGTGATAATCCTGATTCCAAGCCTTCCATCTCATGAATTAAGATTTTTACTTCTGGATTCCACTGACCTTTTGTACTATGAAACTCATTGTTACCATCTAGACTGACCTTTGTACTATGAAACTCATTGTTACCATCTAGACTGACCTTTGTACTATGAAACTCATTGTTACCATCTAGACTGACCTTTGTACTATGAAACTCAATGTTACCATCTAGACTGACCTTTGTACTATGAAACTCATTGTTACCATCTAGACTGACCTTTGTACTATGAAACTCATTGTTACCATCTAGACTGACCTTTGTACTATGAAACTCATTGTTACCATCTAGACTGACCTTTGTACTATGAAACTCATTGTTACCATCTAGACTGACCTTTTGTACTATGAAACTCATTGTTACCATCTAGACTGACCTTTTGTACTATGAAACTCATTGTTACCATCTAGACTGACCTTTGTAATATGAAACTCATTGTTACCATCTAGACTGACCTTTCGTACTATGAAACTCATTGTTACCATCTAGACTGACCTTTGTAATATGAAACTCATTGTTACCATCTAGACTGACCTTTGTAATATGAAACTCATTGTTACCATCTAGACTGACCTTTGTAATATGAAACTCATTGTTACCATCTAGACTGACCTTTGTAATATGAAACTCATTGTTACCATCTAGACTGACCTTTGTAATATGAAACTCATTGTTACCATCTAGACTGACCTTTTGTACTATGAAACTCATTGTTACCATCTAGACTGACCTTTGTACTATGAAACTCATTGTTACCATCTAGACTGACCTTTTGTACTATGAAACTCATTGTTACCATCTAGACTGACCTTTGTACTATGAAACTCATTGTTACCATCTAGACTGACCTTTGTAATATGAAACTCATTGTTACCATCTAGACTGACCTTTGTAATATGAAACTCATTGTTACCATCTAGACTGACCTTTGTAATATGAAACTCATTGTTACCATCTAGAATTCAACATTCGCCATTGGTAGCTCCCCTGTCACTATATAGAACTCTCCCTCCACTGTCTACAATTCAATGTTCAACCTCATTAGAACTCACCAGTTGCTATGTGTTACTCCCCCTCCTCCATACCAATCCCACTGTTCTAATGAGGCCCAGGTCCATGAACTCACATGTTGCTATATTAACTCACCCATCCACCATACCAATCCCACTGTTCTAATGAGGCCCAGGTCCACGAACTCACCTTCTCGTCCAGTTCACACGATGACTTCATCTTGTCTCTCGGCACCACAAAACTCAGGATGCAGTTGTCCTCCTTGGCCTCGCTGACCAAGCCCCACGTGACCCTGGCCGTGGTCACGCTCAGCAGAACAATCCACAGAGCGACTATTCGCGCCATCTTCGATCTCACGTGTAATGAATTCCAGGGGTTGACGCTGTCCGTTTCAAGTCAGCTGTTAGTGGGAGCTCCCGGCAGCCACACCACACAAGCACACTGACCACATCTCACGGCCGTCTCGGGCTAACTCACTGTGGTCAAGTGATCAAGACCCACCACTTACTGTCAAGTGGGTTACACGGTGGGACACAATTAGCCGGCAGTCCGCGAAGGGTGAGGGGGGGGGTGTTAATCCAAGTTGCAATGCGGGAGTTTGACCCGAGGCTCACTTGTGTTGTGGTCAAAGGTGTACGTCATAGTGTTGCAACATTGTTACGTTGTCTTTGGAGCGTCTTTGAAATATTCAAAATTTCCATTGAATTGTACCGTCCTTTATATGGTGTCGAATAATGTATTCACTTTGTAGGGGATTCGATCCAATGTATTCGCCTCTGCTTAATGAGACCGTTTCTAAGGACGCGGGCTGTGTTTTTCTCTGAGTTGTATTAGACGAAGAAAAAATGATTAACATGTTGTTAAAAACAATCAAAAAGTATGAAAGTTTGGTAAAAAGAAACGAACTTATTTACAACATGGAGATAGTCTTTAAGTCAGTAAAAATCGTTTTCAAATCATTTTAAAATATTTGCATCGTGGTGTGAAAATATTATTAGATCTCCACATTTTTATGGTGGTAAGGGGAACAAAAAGTGTATTTGACATTTGGGTAAAATAACGCGAATCAACTAAATAACACGTTTTCCTTACCAGCTTGTAAATAATATTTAACACTCTTTCTTTTAAAGCGATGTATAAAAATGAGGCCTAATATTTAAAACTTGCTTGATAAATCTCGTGCTAATGTAGAATGCGCTCGCATTTCATCCCTCGGCGGTCGGTAATGCTATCTACCACACAGCTTCCGTGGGTCATTTCATCCCTCGGCGGTCGGTAATGCTATCTACCACACAGCTTCCGTGGGTCATTTCATCCCTCGGCGGTCGGTAATGCTATCTACCACACAGCTTCCGTGGGTCCTCTGACTCCCTGTCTCCGGATCTCGAGAACAAATCATCCAATGTGGCGGAAACTCCCCTACCCTATCTCACTCTCTCGGTAACGTGTAATTCCTCTAGACGAACACACACACCAGCGATCCAACTTGTTATTCCTCTAGACGAACACGCACACCAGCGATCCAACTTGTTATTCCTCTAGACGAGCACACACACGAGCCATCAAACAGGTATCTGCAGATCGCAATAATTTCTCGGCTCGATGACGTTCCTCCCCATCACAGATCTCCCGGCGTGCACTTGGCTCCTCTTGTGTCAGAAACTGCTCACTGGTACACTCGCTGCGCCGCCCCCTCTCCTTGTTCACGTGCAGGATCACGGCAACCTCCCCGTCGCCTGCTCAGTTTGCCCCATCCACCCCCTGCCCCCTGGCGCCTGTACTTCTAATCGAAGTCTGATCAGTCAGACGTGAGTCTCCCACCCCCCTCATACCCTCTACATCACGGTCATCTTGATGTTAGCACCAACATTGTCTTAGGATTTAATCGAGCCTTGTTCCAGCCATGTTCCCGCCTTGTCAGAGGTTGTAGTTGTATCTCCCTTCGCTCCCATGTTCCAGCCATGTTCCCGCCTTGTCAGAGGTTGTAGTTGTATCTCCCTTCCCTCCCATGTGCCAGCCATGTTCCAGCCATGTTCCAGGCATGTACCAGCCATGTTCCAGCCATGTTCCAGCCATGTTCCAGGCATGTATCAGCCATGTTACATCCATGTTCCAGGCATGTATCAGCCATGTTCCAGCCATGTTCCAGGCATGTATCAGCCATGTTACAGCCATGTTCCAGGCATGTTCCAGCCATGTTCCAGCCTGGTCAGAAAAAACACCCCCTGAGGTCCGAGATGAATTATGCGCGTCAAAAGAGTGACCCAGTAACTCGTGTTTTGCTCCATATTTAAGCATAAACCTAATTGGTTTCGTTCGTGGTTGAATCCAATTGATTGGTACACTATAAATTGTTTGCTTACAATGTTCAAATTCTTGTTGAATCGTACATGGATACCAAGCTATTTTTCATAGTTAAATGTCACTTTTACATTCAATGGGTAACTTCCATAGTTGCATTTCATATGTACATTCCATAATTACATTTCACTGTTGAATTCAGTGGGTAACTTTCATAGCTAAATCCCACCCTTACATTCCATAATTACGCACCATAGTTACATTCCATAGTTCTATTGTGTGGTTGCAGGTTCCCCGACACATGCTCGTAGTTAAATAAGTTTTCAGGAGCTGAAGCTGTTCTAAAGCTGTTCAAGCTCACTGGCATTGATTAATGTCTATGCTTCTTTATATCATTCTTTGGAGGTTCCCCCGTACCACGTAATGTCTAATGCTTCTTTCTATCATTTTTCGGAGGTTCCCCCGTACCACGTAATGTCTATGCTTCTTTATATCATTATTTGGAGGTTCCCCCGTACCACGTAATGTCTAATGCTTCTTTCTATCATTTTTCGGAGGTTCCCCCGTACCACGTAATGTCTATGCTTCTTTCTATCATTCTTCGTAGGTTCCCCCGTTCCACGTAATGTCTATGCTTCTTTCTATCATTCTTGTAGGTTCCCCCGTACCACGTAATGTCTATGCTTCTTTCTATCATTCTTTGGAGGTTCCCCCGTACCACGTAAGGTCTATGCTTCTTTATATCATTATTCGGAGGTTCCCCGTACCACGTAATGTCTATGCTTCTTTCTATCATTCTTCGGAGGTTCCCCCGTACTGCTTGGTGTGACTCTTTGTCTGCTCATTTCTGAACTACGTGTTTGATTGCTTCGGTGTGTGGTGGTCTGTCTGGACGTTTCTGTGGGGCATTGTCTGGACGTTTGTGTGAGAGATTGTATGGAAGTTCATGTTGGAGATTGTTTGGATGTGTGTATGGGGGGTTGTGTGGATGTTTGTGAAGGGGATTGTCTGAATGTTTGTGTGGGGAATTGTCTGGAATTTCGTGTAGGTGATTGTCTGGGTGTTTATGTGAAGGGATTGTCTCAATGTTTGTGTGGGGGATTGTCTGTCTGGACTTTTGTGTGGGGATTTTCTTGAGTTTTGTATCGGGGAGTATTTGTGCCTTAGTGTGGGTGTTTGTCAGTCGAGTGAAGATGGTAGGTCATAAGCTGTGGATTGAAGTCGTGTGGATTAGAAGAGAGCCACATCATCAAGTCTTGAGATTCGTTCATTAGTTGCTTGTTAGAAGAGAGCCACATCATCAAGTCTTGAGATTCGTTCATTGGTTGCTTGCTAGAAGAGAGCCACATCATCAAGTCTTGAGATTCGTTCATTAGTTGCTTGTTAGAAGAGAGCCACATCATCAAGTCTTGAGATTCGTTCATTGGTTGCTTGTTAGAAGAGAGCCACATCATCAAGTCTTGAGATTCGTTCATTGGTTGCTTGTTAGAAGAGAGCCACATCATCAAGTCTTGACATTCGTTCATTAGTTGCTTGTTCAATTCTATTTTAAAATCCTTGATAATAACATCGCGTTTCTTCGTGTGTTTCTTGCTTTGTGGCGGCAAAATCTTCGGAAGGCTAACTGACCCATTTCCAGTAATCCTATTGAGCTGAAACTTGGCACATAGACTCGTGTCCGGTTACAACACATTCCATCAAGTTTTCATTGCCCACCCCACACAGAACCCCCAAAAATAAGTTTTTCCTGTTTTCAATGCGAAGCTGATTGACCCCCTTCCCGTCATCCTATCGAAATGAAACACTGAACATAAGTGCAAATAAAAATGCATAAATAAGATTTATACGAAAATCTTAGTTTTTAAGGGTTGCTTATTAAATCCTCATTTAAATTTCGCTTGTTTATGTGTTTCTTTGTGGCAAAGTCTTTGGACGGCTACTTGGACTCATTTCCCGTCATCCTATCGAACTGAAACGTGACACGTTTGACTCGTTGTTTCAAATTGTCAGTGCTACGCTCACCCCCCACCCCCCACACCCACACCCACACACCCAAAAAAATATCAGTTTTTCCTGGTGTTCCAAATCCTTGTTGGTGCCGAAGATTCAAGGAAGTTAATCCAGTTTAAACATTGCTCGGCTTGCCTCCCTCAACAACAGTCACTGAAGTGAAAATAACATGTAGCTTTGAAGGGGAAAATGAAGGAGATATGAACATGCTTTCTCCAGAAGTTTACATAACCGCCTCTTAATGCTTGATAAATGACATACATGTACATAAATGTCATCACCAACGCATCGTGAGGATTTACACGAAAAGCTTTGGTTTTAATGGCTGGTTTTCTCTTCATCTTCAACTTTTGTTGGTTTGTTTGTCATAGGTGGCGTACTTTGTGCTTCCTGACTTCGTGGAGAGCTGAAGTTCGTCATGTGTTTTAGATACTTTGTGCTTCCTGACTTCGTGGAGAGCTGAAGTTTCATCATGTGTTTTAGGTACTTTGTGCCTCCCAACTTCACAGAGAGCTGAAGTTTCATCACGTTTTTTAGGTACTTTGTGCTTCCTGACTTCGTGGAGAGCTGAAGTTTCATCATGTGTTTTAGGTACTTTGTGCCTCCCAACTTCACAGAGAGCTGAAAATTCATCACGTTTTTTAGGTACTTTGTGCTTCCTGACTTCGTGGAGAGCTGAAGTTTCATCATGTGTTTTAGGTACTTTGTGCCTCCTGACTTCGTGGAGAGCTGAAGTTTCATCATGTGTTTTAGGTACTTTGTGCTTCCTGACTTCGTGGAGAGCTGAAGTTTCATCATGTGTTTTAGGTACTTTGTGCCTCCCAACTTCACAGAGAGCTGAAGTTTCATCACGATTTTTAGGTACTTTGTGCCTCCCAACTTCCCAGAGAGCTGAAGTTTCATCACGTTTTTTAGGTAATTTGTGCTTCCTGACTTCACAGAGAGCTGAAGTTTCATCATGTGTTTTAGGTACTTTGTGCCTCCCAACTTCACAGAGAGCTGAAGTTTCATCATGTGTTTTAGGTACTTTGTGCTTCCTGACTTCCCAGAGAGCTAAAGTTTCATCATGTATTTTATGTACTTTGTGCTTCCTGACTTCCCAGAGAGCTGAAGTTTCATCATGTGTTTTACTTTGTGCTTCCTGACTTCCCAGAGAGCTGAAGTTTCATCATGTGTTTTACTTTGTGCTTCCTGACTTCCCAGAGAGCTGAAGTTTCATCATGTGTTTTAGGTACTTTGTGCTTCCTGACTTCCCAGAGAGCTGAAGTTTCATCATGTGTTTTAGGTACTTTGTGCTTCCTGACTTCCCAGAGAGCTGAAGTTTCATCATGTGTTTTAGGTACTTTGTGCTTCCTGACTTCCCAGAGAGCTGAAGTTTCATCATGTGTTTTAGGTACTTTGTGCTTCCTGACTTCCCAGAGAGCTGAAGTTTCATCATGTGTTTTAGGTACTTTGTGCTTCCTGACTTCCCAGAGAGCTGAAGTTTCATCATGTGTTTTAGGTACTTTGTGCTTCCTGACTTCCCAGAGAGCTGAAGTTTCATCATGTGTTTTAGGTACTTTGTGCTTCCTGACTTCCCAGAGAGCTGAAGTTTCATCATGTGTTTTAGGTACTTTGTGCTTCCTGACTTCCCAGAGAGCTGAAGTTTCATCATGTGTTTTAGGTACTTTGTGCTTCCTGACTTCCCAGAGAGCTGAAGTTTCATCATGTGTTTTAGGTACTTTGTGCTTCCTGACTTCCCAGAGAGCTGAAGTTTCATCATGTGTTTTAGGTACTTTGTGCTTCCTGACTTCCCAGAGAGCTGAAGTTTCATCATGTGTTTTAGGTACTTTGTGCTTCCTGACTTCCCAGAGAGCTGAAGTTTCATCATGTGTTTTAGGTACTTTGTGCTTCCTGACTTCCCAGAGAGCTGAAGTTTCATCATGTGTTTTAGGTACTTTGTGCTTCCTGACTTCCCAGAGAGCTGAAGTTTCATCATGTGTTTTAGGTACTTTGTGCTTCCTGACTTCCCAGAGAGCTGAAGTTTCATCATGTGTTTTAGGTACTTTGTGCTTCCTGACTTCCCAGAGAGCTGAAGTTTCATCATGTGTTTTAGGTACTTTGTGCTTCCTGACTTCCCAGAGAGCTGAAGTTTCATCATGTGTTTTACTTTGTGCTTCCTGACTTCCCAGAGAGCTGAAGTTTCATCATGTGTTTTAGGTACTTTGTGCTTCCTGGCTTCGTGGAGAGCTGATGTTTCATCACGTTTTTAGGTACTTTATTCTTCCTGACTTCCCAGAGAGCTGAAGTTTCATCATGTGTTTTACTTTGTGCTTCCTGACTTCCCAGAGAGCTGAAGTTTCATCATGTGTT